CTTTCCTATGCCTAATTGCTACATGTTTATACTAGTGTTGTTAAATTGATCGTCATTATCATGGTTACGAATTTTTTGTTGGTAATCGAGTATTCATTTAAAAGTTAGATTTATATTGTGGAACCAAATATTGAAGTNTCCTGTTGATTCATGGTATATTGACTGCTCCGGTGATCATTCTGTTGTAGTTCTTTATCTTGTATTCCCCTCAGTATGTTCCCCTCCCGACATTTCTCGTATAGTTCTTCATTTCTGTTATTGTATATACACTGTTAAATTATACAGGTTAATTTGTAGGTGCCTTGCCTTAGCCTCGTCACTACTTCGTCGAGGTTATGNGCACTTATTATATTTCATCTTAGTTAATTATTGTTAATTACTGAATGGAAATAAGGAATTGGTTTAATAATTTTCTAACGTTGGCTTGCCTAGCAAGTGAAATGTTAGGCGTTATCACGGTTCCGTCGGCAGAAAATTCCGGGTCGTCACACTTATAAAGAAGTCTTAAATAGGATACGATTACATTGCATATTTCTATATTATATCAAACTAAGGTAAATTGATCATTTTGCATATTAGATGATGCTTAATCATTTTGAATTCCAGTTGGTAATGTAATAATACTGACTGTTAGCATTGAAATAATTGTATTATTTTTTCACGTCAATAGCTTTATAATAATTATTTTTTTTTATATATATATATATATATATATATATATATATATATATATTAATTTCTTTACTAACTCAATTTGTTGTTATTTAATATAAATAATTGACTGAAACTATATATGCAATAATAATAATATTATTATTATTACTATTATTTTTGTTATTATAAAAGTACACATGTTCAACGTAAAATATTGATGTACTAAATATTTATATTCAATTATTAACGTGCAACACACTAGTTTATAGTAACTAGTATAAATAAATACCACGCTTAAGATTTGAACATGTAATTTTCTAATCATGTCAATGATTCAAAAATGTCAATGATTCAAAACGTGTTTCCCTATTTGCTTATAACTTTCCCGACGATAAAACTTCTCATTGTAGTTACATAGTGGATTCTATATTGTCATGTGGCAATACTATATCAGTGTCCTAATATACAATGTTTTTTCCTAATTCTGTTTCCTCCTTTAATATTTTTTTTCTTCCTTCCTCTCTTTTCTGGCGAGGAAAGCTATAAAACAAGTTGATATATAGAAAGACCACGTAAATGGAAATTCTGGACTTCAATTGCTTTATAACAATCCAACCGGTCGTTTTGAGTATTTGCATTCCGTTCAGCTGTTTGAAGTCTTAATTAGCTTCATATAATGTATTATGACTTGTGCGAATTGTCAGTTTTGATTTTCAGGTGACTCAGAATGAATTTGGAGGAATGAATATCATGTTAGAAACTTTAAGTTGGAAGAATTGACTATATTTGACTTTTATGTATTTGACCTCGGACCGGAGTTTTGATGGTTCCGATAGGTGATTTTGGACTTGGGGGTATGCTCGTAATTTTATTTTGATGATCTAGAAAGTTTCGACACTATTTGGCGAAAGTTGAAAATTTAAAGGTATGGAATGACTTTGATGTTATCGAGTTCGGATTGTAGTTCCGGGAGTTAGATAGTGGCACGAGTTTTGAAAGTTAAAAGTTCATAAAGTTTGATTTGAGGTGCGATTTTTAATGTTGCTATGTGAGATTTGACGCCTCGAGTAGGTCCATGTTATATTTTGGGACTTGTTGGTATGATTTGACAGGGTCCCGAGGGACTTGGGTGTATTGTGGATCATTGGTTGAGAGACTAGTTAAGCTAAGAAATTTGGAGTTTGACCATGGTCAATATCGGGTCAAGACGACCTCTTTTCTGTGTTTTGAGGGGGCAAGCAGGTCCATAGCGTGTTTTATGATTGAAATGCATATATAGTTTGTGTTCGGGAGGTTCCGAATGAGTTTCAGATCATTTCGGTGAAGTTGGGGTTTGCTGGTGCTAGTACTTCGCAATTACGAACTTTTTGCCGTAATTGCGAATACCGCATTTACGAACATGTGGTCGCAATTGCAAACATGTGGTCGCAGTTGCGAACAGTCCGTACTTGCGAACCTTTGGTCGCAAATGCGACATCTGCAACTTGGTTAAGAGTTGAAATTTTGAGATTTTAGCTCATTCTTTCATATTTTGAATCCTAGACTCGAATTTGGGTGATTTCGGAGAAAATTTTCACCACAAGGATTGGGGTAAGTGTTCTCTACTTGGTTTTGATTATATTTCATGAATTTATCTTCGATTTTGGCATTTGGATTATGAATTTTAAAGAAAATTTGGTGGTTTTTGTCCAAACTTTTCTAAAGTGAATTTTTGGGTTTTGAACATCGATTCGGAGTCGGATTTGAGTAAAATTAGTATGGTTGGACTCGTAATTGAATAGTTTATTGGATTTTTTTTAATTTTATGAGATTTCGAGGTGCGGGCCCGGGTTTGACTTGCTGGTTAACTTAGAGTAAATGTATAAAGATTCGACCTTTATCGATGAGATTTGCTTCCTCTGGCATTATTTGATAATTTTGAGTTGCTTCTGGCTAGTTTCGAGCCGTTCGGAGGATGATTTGAGTGAGATGGCGCTTCTAGTATATCGATTTGACTTGTTTGAGGTAAGTGTCTTGCCTAACTTTATTGAAAAAAAATTTCCTACTAATTGTCATTGCTTGCTACATGCGGGGGTGATGCATATATGAGGTGACGAGTGTATATGCATGTGCCTGGGTTAATCATGCTCGGGGGTAAATTATACGATTAATTGTGCCTTATAGAATTAGGTGACCTCTTGTTTCATGTCTTACTTGACTTCTAGATTACTAAGAATATGAAATTAAATGTTAGAAATCGAGATTTAACTTATTTTAATTTGATTAAATTTGACGGATTTTTGTGAAACTATTGATGCGTTAAATTCAGTCGTCACTATGATTAATCATTAATACATCGCTACGACCGTTATTCTTGAGATATTGGATTCTATACTTGAGTTAAAGATCATTTTTGAGACTTATCGAAATATTTGAACAATAAAGTACTTGAGGTTTATTGAATTGTTGTTGGCTTGAAAACTGTGATTGATGTTCATTTGGAATATTCGCTTAAACACTCACCTTGATGTTATTTATACTTCCTACCTTGCTTGTCAATGATGTACATATGCTTGGTGAGGAAGAGCGTAAAGCACGAAGGGTGATGTCGTGCCATGGCATATACATTATCATGTGAGGAAGAGTGTAAAGTACGAAGGCTGATGCTGTGCTATTTTATTTACATTATCATGTGAGGATGAAAGTAAAAGTATGAACGGTGATGCCGTGCCATTTCACTTACATTATCATGATCTCATTTATATTATCATGTGAGGATGAGGGTAAAAGCACGAAGGGTGATGCCGTGCCATTTTATTTATATTAGCATGCTTTAATATTATCATGAGTTCATAGCACGAAGGGTATTTTTGTGCAGGCGAGGGACATGCATTATGTTGTGATATCTTTTTCTTGTGTATACGTTCATGCCTTTATCTTGAGCTGTTACTGTTGTACCTATGTTTCCTATGTGACTTGTCGTTATTGTTCTGTCTCTATTCTCTATCTCAATTGTTGTTGTGTTGCCCATTCCTTCTGTTTGTTTAACTTGCAAATATCATGTTTTCCTTCTTGTTGCTATATCTACATACATGTCGTTCCCTATTTGTTGCACTTTTGTAGAAGCTTTTTATCATGTTAGTTATTCATGTCTTCTAGTTGTTAGCTCATAAAGATCATGCTTTCCCTTTTGTTTGTTATATCTACACCTAGGCCTTCTACCATGCTAGTTAGTGAAATCTATATTCTTCTTTTCTAATTGCTGTCATAATTTCTATGCCTTCTACCTAGTTTGTTACCGTTGTCCATATGTACTGCCTTGTTCGTTATTGCGACCTGTGTATTTTCCACTTTGTCATATCTGTTATTGTCATTTCTTTCACCTAGATGGTACTGTTATACGTATATTTGGTGAGGATGAGATAAATGCACGATGGGTGTTGCCGCGTCATTGACTTGATATCTTGAGTACATTTCTCACACTATAAAAGTTATGGATTTACTATCGTGGTATCTTGGTTACGTTATCACTCTAAGGAAAGGATTGGTCGAGGTATTGGGAAATATTAAATTGTGATCTCTTCTAGTACTCATTTTCTGTCATAATCTATATTTTAGTTTTGTTCTATTGCTAGTTTACTGCACAAGTTATATCAGTGGGTATCTTTTAACTAAAAAGCCTCGTCACTACTTCACCGAGATTAGTCAAGATACTTACTGAGTATATGTGGTCGGTTGTACTCATACTACACTTCTGCACCTTGCGTGCAGATCTTGGAGCGGAGCTGCGGTGGATGACAGGAGCTGACTCTGAAGATGTTCGTGCCTTTCGGACGTGGCTACCACTTGTCCCTCAGTGGTTTTAAAATTTAATTCTGTTTATGTACATTTCGAACATAAGTTGTATCCATTACATATAAGTTTTTGCAATAATCCAGTCTTATTAGCTCATGACTTGTACTACCAGTCCTTTGGGATATCGTATGGAAATCCAGATGTAATATTTGTTGATCACCTTTATTTTATTAGAATTGTGTTAACTGTTAATTGGTTAACCTAGCGGGTTGTATTAGGTCCCATCACACATTTGGCTTCATCAAGTTTTATATATAAGTTAATTTGTTAATATATATATATATATATATATATATATATATATATATATAAAATAAAAAAAAATTCCATCTGGCAATTAATGTTCTAGTAAACCCCAAATAGCCATGCAGCCATAATAAGCAGACACCTCTCTCCTTGTTTCACTATTTATATTATCGACACTCACTTTCCCCTCTTCAACCTCACCGCTACATCCTATATATCTTCACTTCTCTCAATACTGTAGTTTCCTCCTTTAATTTCTCTCGTTGATGGCTACAAACAACAAACACTTTCTTGTGAAGTACGGTGAGTGCAAGCATAATTATGCAGCAAGTGCGATGGGCTATGCACTTGATGGTTGTGGTGAGTTTTGTCCAAATGGAATCCCTGAATCTTTGATCTGCGCAGCTTGCCATTGCCATCGAAGCTTCCATAGAAAAATGGAGATGGAGATTCCTGTCCTCTCTAAAAGTCACCATAACCATGGTATGATCATCACATCTAATAATTTAAATATTTCTAGATAACACATTTTTATTTATTTGATTATTATTGGGAAACTTGAACAACAGGCCTTTTCTTGAGGCTACTCTTTAAATTATGTCCCCTGATAGTCAAAGTCTAAATTTTGGGAGACAAATTTAGCTCACTAAACTAACATGGGACAAATTAATAAATAAAAGCATTTATATCTTTTCTTTTTTATTTAAATTTTTAGATGAGATAGAGATATAATTTTAATTTTGTATCAGAATAGCTAGCTAGAGATCTAATTGAATTCAACTATAACCATTTCGAACATATATTTTGACTCATGAAAAAAAATCAGATTTGCATATAGAACACATGTTAGAACTGATTTATCGTATCGTATGATCTTTTTTGAGGCTATTCTTTAAATTTAATTAATTTTTCTTAAGCGTACATGAAAACTCTTATTGAAAATGAATGGTAGTGACACTCAAACCCAATTAGATCTCAAGATATATATAGTTGCTCGATCAAACATTATGTTAAAAAACACTTTTGTTTATTTAATTATTTCTTGAATCAGGTACTTCCCTTGTCATTGTTGTTCCACCAACTCCATCTCAACAACAGTCAAGAATTCATCCTCGTCAAACGTACGACAAGAACAACGTTGTTGCCACCCACCACAGGGAGCAGAGACAACGGAGATGGGCGGAGGAGAGATAGAAGTAGTTGAGCAGATCAACACCAAAGGAAAGAGGATTAACTCAGAGCAAAAGGAAAGAGTGAAGGCTTTTGCAGAGAAGATAGGGTGGAGGTGGACAAAGTACAATGAAGAAGTGAAACCCTTTTGTGCAGAGATTGGAATCACTCCTTATTTCTTGAAGAATTGGATTGACAACAACAGACGCAGATTTGGACCTAAAAAAACCATCTAGCTATAGGAAGAGGGATGATCAGTTACTTAAAACTTTCGATCTGATCATTCTCTCAAGTCCCTTCTTGAGAAAACCATATATGTTACGTTCTATTTGTTTAATTAGTTTGCTTGTTCGAATCACTTTTTGTTGTTCCATTCCTTAAATGCCTAATTACTTGGTTTAATAAATAGGAAAAAGTTCAGAATTGAGCTATATATACGGGAGTTCCTTCTTTACCTAATGTTTTGCATCTTCATTAATTCAGAATAGGAAAAAAATAATACTCCATGTTTCTAAAGTTGAGAATCTAAAAGGAGTTATTATAACTGCTAAAATACATCCCTAACTAGTCTGGATAGTTAAATGATCAAAACAGAAAAAGAAAGATATTAATTATAGACATTCTAAAGTTAACTACAAATATAACCATAGAAAGATAAAAAGAAACGACACTAGTTACTATGACTTATGACCTCATTTTTAGTTACTCATACATATATAGTATCGCAATACAACTTTCTTAATCACATTGTTATAGTTTTTTCTCCCTTTTTATTTTCATTTTGAAGTGTACTCCAGTGATATAATATAATGGAGTTTCAATTTACTTTGTTTCGTCATAAATATTCCTAACCAACGGCCTTTTTTTTCACGTAAAAATAGTACGGGCTAGTAAGTTTTCGGACTAATAATTCAAAAATAGCTATTATTTTACTGCAACACGGACCGGTCCAGCATAATATATTGGAGATTGGTGCACATGTGTATGAACTTCCATCATATTATGCTCGAACTCTAACACGCGAAAAGTTCCAGCATAATATACGGGAGATTGAAGCACTTGTGTATGAACTTCCAGCATATTATGCTAGACCGGTATATTATACTGGAACTCTAGTATATTATGCTGGAATATTTTCCGAATTTTTAACAATGTTTTAGTTCAGATTTATCTTTACATGAAAAGTGACTAAATTTCGATTACTTTTGAAATTCTGACTATTTTTCAATTACTGCTCATAAATCTCACTACTTTTGAATTTCTCCCTTTTTTCACTGCTAAAGTGTAGCCCAGTCAGCTAGATTTTGGAGATAAGTATGAAATGCCAGTTCTAATATGAGGTGTTTTTACATTTAATAAACACAAACAAACTTCCAAATTTTTTATATTACTGTAATACAATCTAATTAATATAAATCTGCTCTTCAAGTAGTCAAATAATTTAGGACAATGTTCAATGTATACTCTACTAGTAATAATCAAGTTCTTACCGAATAATATGATATCTGAACCAAACGGTCTCATAAGAGGTTAAATTTTTTCCACTGCATGTCCTTAATTAATAAAATTACCAATTAAACAAGAGTTCCAGTTAAACTCAAACATAGATATAATTAAACGTTGCCCAGGGTACATGCTTGCTATAGCAGCTAGTGATTGTTTATAAAATTCTTAAACACAAAGTTTTACAAATCATTAAATATTAATTAACATATTATCATGTGTTAAACTAAACAGTATAAAATAAAAGAAAATATGTACTACCTATGTATATTATTAATTTGAAAAGGGTGATATGAGATTAGCCTAATATAATCTCATCTCCATTTTAATCTCTACTTAATTCTGGCCCCAGCCCAGCCGTAAAAAGGAAAAGACAATAAACACCTTAAACCTCAAGAAACTCTTCTATATATAAGAGTACCCATTTCTTCGAGTTTCATCACACCTCTCAAAGCTAGCTAGTATTAATCAATGGCTAATAACAACATGCTGAGAGCTAATCAAGCTGCTAGGGCTAATAACAATAGGCCTATGATTAGTCCAGCGGTTTATGGCGAGTGCATTCGCAATCGCTTAACAGGTGCCATGACCTATGACACTGATGGCTGCCTAGCTTTTGCTCCCGGTAGTACACAAGCTTTGCGCTGTCAAACTTGCGGCTGTTCTAGAACTTTCCACCGTAGGTTGGATACCGGCAACCTCCCACCTCCGGTTGCATCACACCAGGTTTAGAAATTTAAAAGATTTGGTGTATCTACTAAAACTAGTTGCATTCAAACTTCCTTTCATTTTCATTTTGAATAAGTTGGTTTTTTTCTCCCTTATGAATAGTCGTTCACTTTGGGGAAAAAAAAATTCCTTCTAGTTCTACATCTATTTTTGGGACTACTTCTCTTTTCCCTAGAAACACTCACTTTCTTCTTCGGATTTAACACTTCAAATTAAAAAATAGTTCTTTGTTTTCCTAATTAGAATTTCAAAAGGCTTGTCATTGAACTAGCAACCTTACAAAGTTTTAAACTCCCTCGAGCATTAAGCTATGTTTTTGGCGTGTGTTTAGGGGATTCAAAATATAATATATAAAGGCACAAAACGAATTTTATCTTATATGTACAATATAATTTTTCGGCGAAGGGGTTCGAATGAACCCATTCCGCCCCTAAATCAGGCCCTGCTTGTCATATGAACTAAATTTGTTTGCCCTTTAATTTTATATCAATTTCACGGAAGAGAGTGACGCTAAGCTTATCTAACGTGTTTCAAGCCTAATTAATTATTTGTGTTCTTTCGCTCATATACAGATTTATGATGACACTCGCCTTGTCTACTCTACTCCTCCTGTTTTCGCCGCACCTTCATCAACAATCATCCCTCCACCACCACTGCCGCTGCCCACCCAACCCGATGCTCCTGCAGCCGACGCACACATGGAAAATTCAAATGCCAACGCGAACTCTCTGGCCGAATCATTTAGGGTTACTGCAGTTGAAAACACTTCAACAGGTTCAGTCAATGTACAGTGTGTACATCAACCTGTGGCGGTAACAAGGGGTAGTGTCAAAGGTAAGGAAGTAATGGATGCTGAAATAGCGAAGACATTTACATCATTGCCGCCACTACCACCACGGCGACAGAGAAGTAAGTCTCCTGCTGTGAGTGGCAAGAGGAAAAGTACTATCTCTTCTTCGGATGTAGTTTCAGAAATAATGAAGGATAAGGTTTGGCTTCTAACGGAAGAGTTAGAATGGTTAAATATGAAGAATAAAGAGGAAGAAGATAAGAAGAATAATACTAATAAACAGCTGGAAGAGACAAATAGTAACGTGTCCAGACGAAAACCTATAGTAGATCATACCATTGAACGTTGGATGAATAATCGGGCGGAAGTTCTTAAAACGATGAATCATCAATTTCTGGTAATAGCAACAACATTAACTGCTAGACGTGAGCTGGGAGATCAATCATCATGTTTTGGTACTAGCAACACTGAGTTGGAGAACGATGAATCATCTTCCGACTCTGACTCTTAAATTTCTCCTATGGAGCAGAACGCGTCTATGTTGTTATTGTTGTCATTGTTATTGTTTGTGAGATTTGTTTTTTTTTTTTGGGTGGGTTTTAAGTGTTAAGCTAGCTAGGGTTCGACAGTAATACAAGTATAGGCTAGCTAACTGCCCACCTTTTATTTTCTTTTCCTTTTCCTGAAGAATGGTATCGATCGTTTGTGTTCTGAATTGAAAGCTAGTATGTGTTTGTTGTTTTGGTTATTTTTATGCTCTCTCTCCACAAAATGGTTTCTTCAATTGTTGACTTAGTACAGTATGTGAGTTCACATATAAACTAATCATCAAGATAATTAAGATATGATTTACCCAATGGCGGCTCAATACTAATAGGGCCTAATTAAAGACAAACTTTAATGAGAAGCATTATTTTTTTTTTTAAAAAAGAAGCTTTCATATATATATATATATATATATTCTCAAAAAATCAACTTTTCTCCTTTTTGAAGTTTTGAATAACCGAATTCATGCTTTTGGTTTGACATATTTAGATTCTAATAAATATTAAAAGAACAATATATACTTAAGTAATAGAAATATCAAGAAAAATAATTTTAGATGAAAAATAATATGAAAAGTTGGATAACGTAATCTGATTCAATAACTTGATATGAAAATAAATGCTCCCTGCTTCAATATATCCAAAAAATATTGCATCATGTGGAAGAACAAACTAAAAAGGAAAAAAGGTCAGATTTGTCCATTTACTTTAACAAATTATCCATATTTATCTCTAGTTCTAATATCCGTCCAAATATGTCCCTGCCATTAACAAAGTAGATAAAAATATCCCAACCCTAATGGATGTCTGTGGCAAGGCATCCCCTCAATAAAAAATACCACGTATAATTAAATAGAAATGGTGCACTAAAAGTTGTCCAAAAAATATTAATAAAGAGTAAGAGAAATTAAAAGGAAAAAAATAAATGAAATTTATAAAATCCTTCCCTTCCCCTTCTTTCTTCACCTCATCAGAATATTCCAGCCAAAAAATTATCCCTTTCAAAATGTTTTTTAGTTTCCCCATTTCCATTGCACCTTGTTTCCCCATTTTCCTCTTTTCTGACCATATTCTCCATGAACATCTCACACCAATTTTTATTTTTCAAGCTCTCACTTTTCTCCTTTCTCTTTTCTGTTCATAAATCACCTCTTCCACTGATTTCTCTCAATGTTCAAGTGGCTCTCAATCCTCAACACCCCATGAAGAGCACTGTTCTAAATAGAAAATTTCCCTTGGCAAAGTCTTTTATTTCAGGCCAAAGATTATTTTTTTATCATTATCTTCTTTATTTGAGAAAAAGATTGTTCCGTCAAGATTTTACGGATTCTGATATGCTCAGGCAGTGAAGAAATTTTAATAAAAAGAGATGAGCGAAAAAGATTTTTCTGGTCTCAGGTGAAATTTTAAAGAGAAACATGGGGTCACTGATAAATAGATTTTGACGGAGGTTTTCT